GTCTTTAGCCTGGCCACTATATCTGTCTTTATGGCAAGCAAGTGCTTTTTTTGGACCATAGTTTTCCAATACATACTATCATACAGTTCAACTAGATAATCATTAAAGCTTTTTTTTTTAACTTAAAATTCTATAATAATACTTGGCTTTTTTATTACATGTGAAAATATTCTGTATATATTACAAAACAATATAATTTAAATATGTTGTCTAATTATAAATTTCCATCTGACAAATCTACAGAATTCAAGCGTGGCATTACTTACAAAATGGAATATTTTAGGGAGTTGTCACCTCTCTGCAGTGTGTTAGCCCCATCTAGTGAATGATTAATGAATTCTCAAAAGCCAGTTGCATGTGAACCATTTTAAAACTACTCCTGAATCATATATCATCTTGTTTCCAGTCTTCCAGCCTTTGCTATTCCAGATCTCGCCAAGGTTGAAAGAGAAATTTATTGTGAGGTTAGTTTGGGAAATATATGAATGCCTGTGTAGAACAGATTCACTTTAAGAGTGAAACAATATGAAGAGTGGTTATCTATTTCTCAAATTCCACCTTTGATTCAGTTTCTATTTTCAACCAAATATATAAATGCACACAGTTTAAACAGTCATATAATTATATAAGAGACAGGCTTGGATAACTTTCTTTTCCTGCTCACCTTTTGTCCCAGGAATTGTCAAGTTTTATCATTTGCTTGATATTCCATGTATTTGTCACTAATTCAGCCTCAAATTTGCTACCTATTATAAATCAAGGCTGTGGACACATCAGGTATCCTACTTTTTATATATTTCTGAGAAAGCCTTTCCCTGGACCTTCTGACCTGCCCCAGCTGGGTTTGGTTTTATCTCCTTGCCTGGGACACAGCTTCATCCTAGATCTGCCTTAATTGTTATCCTGAGAAACCCTCTCTCTTTTTTCCCTATGTTGGGTCTCCTGTCTCCTGTATCACATGTTTTCTTTTCTCTCGATTTACTCATATTTTGAAGAAATATACCCTACACACAAAAAGTGCATGTGAAATATATTTTTGAGACTTAGTATGGTGAATATGGTGAATTGTCTGCCATTCAGCATTAATTTCAAACTACTTTTAGTGTGCCTGCAGACTGGAAAGCTAAAACCACATTTCCCAGACTTCTTCACGCTAGGACCCTAGACGTACTGTAGTTTGTGCCAGTGGGATACACTCGTGCAAGTTTTGAAGGCCTAAGTTGGGAAGATGCCATCTTTTGATCGCGGAGGCTCCCTGAGTGTGGTGGCTTCTTGGTACCTGGCATTTAATACCCTGCACTATTGCTTAAAATTAACTATGGTGGATTCTTTCCTGCACTGAGTCTTTAATGATTAATGTTATATGTGTTAACTTGGTTACATATAGAATTCTAAATTTAAAATAATCTTTGTTTACAATTCAAGTGTTTCTTTCATAAAATATGAAGACACCTTGGCCCCTGCTCCAATACATGTGACTTTTTCTCCCTCTTCTCTGGGAGCTAAGGAAAACTATTCTTTGTTTCCCGTGTTCTGAAAATTCAAGGTAATTTACCCAAAGTTATCTATTTTTGTCTATCATGCTGTGTTCTTGGTAGGTCCTTTCAATGTGGAAACTTATGTTTTTATTTGTTGGAAAATTTCTTAAATGTTTCAGTGATTGTTTCCTTTCCCTGGTTTCCTCTGCAATTTTTGGGTTATTGGACTTTTTGGTCTGGCCCTCTAATTTAGTTTATCTTTTTTTCTCTTATTTGTCATCTTTCTTTTAAAAATTTTATATAGGAGCTATCCTAAATTTTCTCTTTTAACTCATGTATTAAGATTTAAATTCTTTTTGCTATTGTATTTTTATTTCCAAACACTGTGTTTTAATCATCAAATTGGTCCATTTTGATAGCATCCTGTTCTAATTCTATTATTATAACATTTTCTTGTCTGTTTAACATATCCATATAATTCATGCATAGACTCCATTTCATTTAAATTGCTTTTTCCTTGCCTTTCGATTGGGCCTCTACATTTTAGTAGAGACTTTCTTTAAGTGTCTGGTAATCTTAGGTGGCTGCTTATAAGTAACAGTGAGGAATTAAAGGCTGACTGGGAGCTCTGAGGATATGGTTGGATCTGTCCACTGTGAGCATCACTGTTTATATTGCTCAGAACAGAAGCTACGTATTTCCCTCTTAGAGGGTCAAGGCCTAGAAGTCAGCACCCTGGGGGAGGAGAGGAGCGTGTGGGCCAGAGTCCCAGCGCCTGTATTCCTTCTGAAGTAGGGGCCCTAAGAACAGCGCCCCTGCCCTGGAAGACACCACGTGTTCTCTCTCATCTCCTATTGCAGAGAGTAAAACCTCAGTTTTTGAAACTCTGGGGGCAGGGATCTGGATATTTGATTGTTTCTTCAGAAGCTTTTCAATCAATCTTCCTTATTAAACACTCCTTTTTAGCCCAACTTCCAGAAGGACAGTTCCACAGCCCTCGGGCGATTGTGGATTGCGTTGCTTTCCTCACGGTAGTTTAAGATTTTACTTTCTCAAATGCATCCACTTTTCAGCTTCCAAAAATTTATTGGTTTTGTTCCCTCATTTGTTCTCTTCTATCTCGTGGATTTCTCTTTTAAAATAACTTCCTTTTTGCAGGGATTTGGGAAAGAGGAAAAATAGATATGTTTCCTCACTGCTTCATAATTGATTTGATCCCATGTGTACTGAACTGATTCTTGAGACAATACATAACCTCACAGATGAATGTAAATGAGTGTGTGTGTGTGTGTGTGTATACACGTGTATGTACATACATAATGTGTATATGTGGGTGATCAGTTGTGATCTTGATGCCAGTGGAAAATACAAGGGTGGGCAAAGTAGGTTTACAGCTGTTCGTACAGAAAAAGACGTGCAGGTCATGATTATTGCAATAGCTTTAGTAACTCTGTGTTTTGCGTACTCACAACTATAAACCTACTTTTGCCCCCCCCCCGTAGTTTGGAGAGAAGGACTGTGATGCTGAGTAGCAATAATGAAGGAAAAATTGGGGAACAAAAATAATTGATCTAATACTTGTTTTAGCTACTCTCTTTTAGAGGCTTAGGCACTTTTGGAAGTTTTTTTGTTTTGTGTGTGTGTGGTTTTTTTAATGGCCACATTGGTGCACTTTCATAAATTAGCTTTTAAGGTATTTAAGTACTGGACCTATAAAAATTTACCAAAAAAAGCAATTACTATGTAAGATTCAGGTGATTTTAAGGGAGACAAATAATGTGGCCAGAGTGGAGAAAAACTGTCCATTTGTTCATCCATTCATGTGCTCAGCAAATGTACATTAACCTTCCATGAGGCCCGGGAGGTGTAGGGGTGGACTATGCCCTTTGCAGGGTCAGGAAACGGGAAGGGGGAACTGACGTGGGAAGTGCAGAGTGGAGAAGATGCACCGAGAGGGGCAGGAAACTCCTCTACTTTTGCTTACAACTCACTGGCCAGGCCTAGTAGCAGGACCCCACCCTTCCTCAAAGGGCCTGGAAAGCGCAATCCTCCTATGTCCCTGGAAGAAGACTGGGAAGCTTTGGGTAAACATTACGAATGACTAACACTCGTGTTTGTGGCTCTTCTTCATTGGAAACCACACCAGAGGATTATGGGACAGAGGCATAGTTTCAGCAAAAAGAACAGAAACCATACCACCTGGGATAGTCAGGGGGCTAGAACAAAAACGTGTGGAAAACACTGAAGGCATCATATTAAGCGAGGTACACAAATACCAGTGTTAATACTTTAAAAAAAATTAAATTCCAAAAATATTTTAGAAATTATTCAAACTGGATATTAGAAATTACCTATGCTAGGATAAATTTGTATGTGGTATAATATGGAGAAATTTTAACTGTACAAATAATTTGTGATAACTAGCTACTGAATATATTTTTTGGGTATCAAAAATCAATAGAATACAATTCAGAATAAAATTTGAAAATATTCTTAAACTGAACAACTGTTAATTAAATGGTAATCAATTTTTTTTTTTTACTTTCAGTTGCTTATAAATTAAAATGGGTGGATTGAAACTGTCAGTTTTAAGGTAAAAGACTTCTGCAATTTTCTTTCTGTAGCATCTCCTATTTTCTAATAAGATTCTATTCTTATCACTTTAAACCACTATTGCCATTGACTTCAGGAGGGATTACAAACAAGTGAATGGCAGGTAATTTGCTCAACGGTGTGTGGCTTTGTGGTAACGTGGGAGAGAGCATATCTCTGTGAACACCTTATATTTGCTAAGCATAACAAATCTGGGGCACTCTGAACCTCCTTGCAAAATTCTACCTGGTTTAATATGCCAAGAGCTCACTGCAGACAATGAATAAAGAAAGGGGAGTGGACAGGGTGGACTATCAGGGGGGTCCAGCATTATTAGGTCTGGGTGACTGAAGGGCTCAGTATGAACAGTGTGTTGTAGATGTGAAGTTAACTAAAATCTGTAGTTGAAAGGCAATTTATGACTATTTGAAGAACCCTAAACAAAAATCACTCTCCTGGTGTTCATGTGACGGGATTCCTAACACACAGGCTGCTCCTTCTCGGTGCCCTTTGCTGATCCTTCCCTTCTTGGCTTCTGAATTTTAGAATGCCCCAGGGTTCTCTGTACGTGGGTCTCCTATTTTCTCTCTCTGAGGTGATCCTATTTAAGCCCCTATCAAACTCAAGGTGAACATCCAAATGGTCTACATGTCTGTGTATTAGCTCCACCTGGCTATCACATAAGCACTTAAAAATGAACACATCTAAAACAGAACTTGAATGTCTTGCTCCTCCCTTCAAAATAAAGAAGTCTTTCCTATTATTTAGCCCGGCCCCCAAACATTAGATCAATCTTTTACTCTTCTTCACCACGGTCTACATCAAATCTATCCATTGATCCCTTATCTGTTGGGTTTTCCATTGATACCGATGTTGAGATTTAGCGTCTCCACCGCTGCCGACCTCGTTGAAGCCACCGTCGGCTCTTACATGACTCGCTGCCACCGGTCTCCTCCTCCCGCAGCAGCCCCCCGGTTCCACTCTTGGTGTCCTCAAGTCTGTCGTTCATCCTCGTGGCAGCCAGAATGATACTGTCAATCAATCCTCCGCTCAAAGCTAACACATTTGCAAGATTGCTCGAGTCCTGACAGCATGCGTTTTGTGTAAATAAAAACCACGGCCTTATACAAAGTAGTATTATATACTTCACAGGGCATGATACACCCAACGTATCAGGGAACGTGCGTCTAGACTGGGGACGAAACAAAGAGAAACGGAAGTGGAGTCTTACATGGCCCACCAGGAAAATGGCACATGGCCTGAGGAATGTATCAGCTCAACCTTTTGGAATTCGCTGTTCTAAAGGAAAAAATCAATCAATCAATCAATCAATCAATCAATCAAAAAGATGGTATATATTTTTAGTGAATAGTCTGTGACGTTTCATATTTTACTTGAAAATATTACACCCAAGTGGGCACATGTTAGCTTTGCTATTATTATTACCTTTTACTTTCAATCTAATTGTTCTTGTTCAAAAGAGAGATACGCGTTGGTGGAGTAAACCAGTAGAGAGTATGTATTTGCAACTTTCTTCATTATTAAAGCTTCTGGAACCTCAAATTTTAGATATACGCCAGATTTAGAAGCTCACCCTTTCCCGTTCTATTTTGCTTAAATTCTCAAAATATTAAAGGTCAGCATGTACTTTCACTAGATTAGAGTATAATACATTGAAAAGTAAAATTACATTTAAAAGCTTGCTGCTTACAGTCTCTGAAGATATAGGCACAGAATGAAACACTGGATATTACCATGTGTATAAGTACTGTATCTGTTTATCCAAATGGCAAAAAGAAAAAATGGTATTTGAGTGCCATGTGAGCAGCTAATATAATGAGCTAAGTTCTTAAATTCTGCAATAAAACGTGTAACAATTTTAGTCTATAGATTTGGGGCAGGGAAATATATGCATCTGGGCACTTTGAAAATTGCTGAATTTTATCATCGCAAAAGGCTATGAAGAAATCGAATCTGTTTTGTTTCAGAGTAACTGTGAGATGAGGTTATTGGCTTCAAGGGGAAATTAAATCCCCTTTTCTAATAAAATTTGGTATCAAAGAGATGTTTCTGTTTTTATAGGCACTCCTATGCCTCTTACTTTACTAGTGCAACTTTAATAAATAAAAGTTCATGAGTTGAAGGAGATTGCACAGGCCGTTACCTTTTTAAAATGGGAAGGTTGACTCGTAGCTTAAGGTTCCTGGCTTGCTAGCTGGGGCTTAGCTGAAGATGAGCCTCATCTATGATAACCCTGTGCTTCATTATAAGATGTGGTATGAAAATTAAAGAGAAATATCCTCAGGATAGAAAACACTAGCAGCCGTTTATTGAACACCTAGTAGGTAGTAGCTCTGATATCAGGTACTTCATGGAAAGTGCCTTTAATGAAATCATCATTTACTACTTATATGTATATCATTGTTTTAAAGAAGAAGAACTCGTGACATGGAAAGTTTTAGTGAGTTTCTCACTTTCAAAGAGTCAGAAAAAGGGAGGTGAAGGCTGAACTTCGGTATGTTTGGTGCCCCAGTAAATCACTAAATCAGCCCTACTTGCATTTCTCGACATTCCCATTTATCTTTGTTGGACAGAGATGATTTTACTTTTGCACAAAAATAGCAACAGATGAAAGTCAAGGTCTGAGACAAAGATTGTATCAGATGCCAGACATTTAAATAAAAGTGAAAATTTTAGTTTACCATTTGAAAATGTTATCACTATTATATATTATCTCCAGATATTTCCAAGTCAAGGTGGAAAATAACTCCTTACACAGCCTTGGATTTACGAAGAATGAAATTTTCTTTTCTGTGCACCTCTCTGCAGCAAGGGGTTCCTGGGCCATATCTTTAACCCAAATCTTCTCTTCTATTTTGGTCCACAGCAGAGACATAAATGTCTCCCTTTCCTGGACCTTGGCTGAGTAGTGTGTCACTTGCATTAATCCATTTTCTGCTTCAAGTAAGTACTTGACTCCTGAGGTAAGAGTAGAAGAGTCCAATGCTTTAATTTTTTAATTCTGTTCTGAATGAGACCGGGAAGAACCCTGTGCAGCATTCAATTAGGATTTAGATTGGTGGGTGAATGTTCATGTGGTGAATGACACAAAATAGTATCCTGGTAACAACACTAGGTTGGGCACTGTGGGGTCTGGTCCTGCTGTCACTTGCTGTTTCAGTCTTGGATGATGGTGAATTGTATCTGGGGCTCTTTTGGTTCATTTGCACAATGCTGGGGCTAATGCAGCTCAAGTGATTTTTCACATATGTAAAATTTTAAATATATTACAATTAAGTGAAGATCCTTACAACAATCACAATAGCCCGGCCGGGCGAGGCTCAGCGGTTGAGCATCGACCTAGGATCCAGGCGATCGGGGTTCGATTCCCGGTCAGGGCGCATGCCCGGGTTGCAGGCTAGGCAGCTGGTCAATGACTCTCTGATCACTGATGTTTCTATCTCTCTCTCTCCCTCTCCTTTCCTCTCTCTGAAATCAATAAAAATATATTTTAAAAAAAATAACAAAAACCAAACAATCACAATAGATGATATGTTTTACTGGCATAGTCATTTCACTGAAGAAATTCTAAAAATATATGAGGTATTCTTTCTTAACAGAATCAATATGCTATTTTAACAGTTTTTTAAGAATTGGCCTCACAAAGATGACCCTTCCTCCTTGCAATTATGATCAGGTAAAAATTATCAGGTAGAAGACCTACCATGGAAAGGAGATAAATACAACAAAGAAAGAAATAAAAAATTACTTTGAGGTTGTGACCCGAAATTCCAAGATATCAAACAAAAATTCAATGGAGTAAATATATTAGAGTATTTCCCATGTTGTCTGTAGACCACCTACATCAGAATCTCCTGGGGTTTTTGGAAGAAAAGTATGAGTCAAAATGTGGTTTCCTAGCTCCTACTTCTGAGACTTGAGTCAAGATCTCTGGAGATGGGATGCAGGAGATTGCCCTTATGGTCTTTAATGTTTGACTGTCAATGCATTTGGTTTTGAGATTAATCCACCCCATCCCATACCTTTCTATATATCAATTGCACACATTTATAAAACAGTAAGTATATACAAGTGTTATTTTTATTCTATTTGGAGATACTAAGGGTTTTAACTGAAGTGCCAATATTTCTGCAGCCTTAGCTAAGAATTGTAGCTTTGTGGTTAAAATGTGTCTCATTGATAATATTCTCTTTTGAGTTCATGAGTGGGGTAGGGGGAGCCTGTTCTATTCTGTTTGAAAACATTAACAGATATTTTCCAATTTAAAGAAATTGACTTTGTGAGCCTAATTCAGTTGGGCGAAATATAAGAATTTAAAAGTGGAATCCAATTATCTCTAACTTGTACACTTTGTTGAAGAGGTATTAAATTGGAAAAACTGAGCTTCTGAAAGCACATTTAAGTTTCCTGTTGACAATAAATGCAAAATAAAAATAATTTGAAAATGAAAACCTTGACAGATTAATCATATCTCCTTCACAATTGAGGTCTTACATACACACAAAACTAGACTCTGTTCCTGACCTAGTCATTAATAATACCCTTCAGTCTGAATTTTTTTCCTGTTTATTACTAAGTATAATTCCATTAACACAAAATTCTGTCACTAGGTGGCTCCATTTAGCTTTTTAAAAGCAGTCTTCTATGGAAATCTGTTCTGGGAGCATTTCTGTTTTCTTATTTCATCTCATATTTTTTTACCTTTGTGATACATACAGTCTGTGTAGCTTAGTTGCAAACCATTAGCTGTCTGAAATTAGAGCCTATGTGCAATGTGCTGCCAATTCCTCTCTCTAGTCAACAAATAATGAAAGGTGACAGATGACAATTCTACAGGACTATGGTTATTGGCTGGATGCCATTGCTCAGTGCTTGGATCCTTAGCAAAATTATTTCCAATCTTATTTTCTCATTCAGAGCTCCATTTGAGCACCAAGACATGTTTCCTGTAGTGAGAGAAATCCCAAGAAAGTCATGGGCAGAGGGATGGATTTCTTTTTACGTTCTGAGAAATTCTTGGTCGGAGAGGATTGGTGTGAGCTACTGGAAAATGCCACAGACTTGGAGTTGAAATACTTGAAGTCTAGTTTGGTGTTTTTGCAGGTAGTAAATTCAACTATCCTTCCTGAATCTCAGTTTTCTCATCCTTCAAGTTGAAGAGATGGACTAGATGATATTTGTAATCTCTTCTAGTTTTCCTTGAGATGGGTGATATGCACAAAGGGATTCCTTAAGCAAAAGTGGCCTCGTATGTGAATATTTACTTTCTCAGGTTATATACTTCTAAGGAAGAAGAAATGTCATAGATTCTCTAGCTCCAGTGCCCCAAACAGTGCCTGGCACATAGAAGAAACTCAACATTTACCTTTAAATGAATAGACAAACTGCCTAGGAGTACTGAATGAAGATCTCAGGGCCACATTGGCTCTCCACAGCCCAACTCGGTCTTATTCTCTCTTTGGGTGTCTAGCTTCTACCCTTAAAGTCACAGGTGCCCATTGACGAAGGCAAGTCATATTAGCATGCATTTATTGTTTCTGGAAAGGAAGTATAGATTTCTAGGCTTTGTCCATTAACATTGTTGTGTTATTTGCATTAAATAGTTGTCATTGTAAATTCTTTGAAGGCAAAGCCCATCAGTAGTAATAGGTTTAAAGTCCTGGAGCATGACAGTGATGTGGTTGGCTAGAGGCACTACTTAAATCGGCTGGCTCTGAAGCTGTTGGGCCCAGGCACAAAGGAAAGAGCCTATGAAACAAAGTCCTAAGTGAAAGTGAGGTGTGTTGAGAGAGGGTTGAAATTTGGTAGAGTAGTGAAAAGATGCCTAATGAATTTTAATAAGATGGTCTAATATAGCATAGATACAAGCAAAATATTCAGCATGCACAGAAAGAAATAACGTTGTTAAAATACTACTTTTATGAGGAGTGTAAGAATCTTGACAGCAGGCATTTAGGACTAAATTGAGCCAAATCCCTAATTCTGAAA